TGGAAAATAAGTTATTCCTCAACTTATGACCACAGCGGAGCCCAGAATTTCAGCCATATGTCATTGCAGTTGTAAGTTGAAGCACCAGATGATTGGACTTGATTTTGTAACCATTTTTATAACTGTTGTAAAGAAAGTCACTGTGGTCATTAAATGAGTCATATATTCATTAAGCGAATCCAGCACATCCATTGGGTATTTTGTGCCATTTTCTACTAGATAAAGCAAAAAAAAAAAAAATCCCATAGCAAATCACGGGATGCTGCAACGGGTCATAAACGGAAGCTGATTGCCAAGCACGCAAAATGCAATTAGGTGACTGCGTGCATACAGCAGTCATAACTTTGAGGATGGATTGTCAGTAGCTTTTTAAAAGTCCATCATAATTTGGAATGTTTGCTAAATGACTGGTCATAAATCGAGTGTCAGGGTTCCAAGTAACACCCCCAACGAAAGAAAACTCCGAGGCTTGAGTTTCCTCAAAGTTCCAATTTATTGGAGATGTCATATTGGCACATCTGGGAAAATTCAAATCTGAAAGCTTCCAGGTTTTCCCCACCCAAAGAAAAGTTAAAGTCCCTGCACAACACCCACAAGTCCATCACATGGTCCAATCAAGCATCGTACCCACTGGAGATGCCTCCCAGGCCCAGCCTTCCAGGTGCAGGGCAAGTTCTTGAGAAAGGAATGTTATTATGACTATACATCACCCGTGCGCCATACAATCCCCCTCCCAGTTTCCCACAGTAGTAAACGTGGCAGGTCTGAAGGCCTAATGCAAAAGATGGCTTCCAGGCCTGACATTGAGGTCTTCCTTAGAGAGGAAAGCTGAAGTTTTTTGGGGGAAAAAGGAAGGTATTTATATATTTCTAGGTCTACAATTACCTATAAAAAGTAGATGGTTTAAGAGGTTGGTTGCAGAAGGGACCTTTGGTTTGACGGCAGAACTCTGTTCCCACCTGGTAGCCTATCACACTGATCAACTCATATTGGCTATCGTCCAGGTCGAGTACCAGAACTTCCCTGGTCACTCTGCAGGAGACGCTTTTGAATTCATCTGCAAAATACACCTGGGCCTGAGGAGCCCTACGGATATTGTCAATCTGTTCGGTGTCTGTTACACCTGAAAAAGAACAGAAAAGAGGAAAAAAAGAAATATGAAAATCATTGGCCTGTTTTGATCACCAGAAAAAGAATCACAAACCTTCAACTGGGCAGAAACAGGGAAGAATTTAGCTTTCCTAGACTCTGTTTGCCAGGTACTGTGTTTCCCCGAAAATAAGACCCTGTCTTATATTTTTTGAACCCTGAAATAAGCGCTTGGCCTTATTTTTGGGGAGGTCTTATTATTTTGGGGCGTGTGGAGCAAGACGGGGCTCCTCTTGCCGTCTTACCTGATTTCCAGCTCTGTCTCCCTAACCCTAACCAGAGGAAATGGCGGGGACCAGCTACACATGTGTTTAAATATTTTCAGGGAGGGCTTATTTTCCAGAGGGGGTTAGCGCATGCGGTCAAAAGCCTGATAGGGCTTATTATCTGTGGAGGTCTTATTTTTGGGGAAACACGGTAGATAATTCTACAACTGGATGAGCTATGACCAAAAAAATTAGACCAAGGTGAATGATGGTAATGCTATATAATTAACTGATTTTTTTTTGAATTTTTTTTTTATTTAAAACAAAAACAAAACATAAAACTGCCATCATTCAAATACAAGCACAGAAAGTGTGTCGATCGGTTAAAATTCTTTTGTGCTCAATCCCATGTCCAAAATTACCAATTATTTAATTTCTCTTATTTAACAGTTTTGTATATCCCTTTATATTATTATACTCATTTAGCCATTATTTAGCAAAGGCTTAACTCCCATAATAAAAACATTTCATATATTTTATCATTACATTAATTTCATATTTCATACTTCATCTCCATGCTTTATTATCTAGCCATTGGTAAAACAAATCCCATATCAAATAGTATTGTTTATCTTCCTGTTCTCTAATTTCAAATGTCAATTTACTCATTTCAGCACAGTCCATAATTTTCTTAATAACTTCATCATCAGTAGGTATCGTCTCACCTTTCCAATTTTTAGCAAAAACAATTTTAGCCGCTGTTAAAATATTCACAATTAAATACCTCAGTTCTTTATTATATATCTCTGGTAAAATCCCTAATAAAAATCTCTCTGGTTTAAAGTCAATGTGTTTCTTTGTCATTTTTTCCAACCATGTGTGGATTTTAGTCCAATATCTTTTAGCTTCTACACATGTCCACCACATATGGTAATATGATCCTGGAGTCTGATGACATTTCCAACATTTCTCCAATTTATTCTTGAACATTCTGGCTATTCTCGTTGGGGGTAAATGCCACCTGTAAAACATCTGATATAGATTCTCCTTATATGTAGACATCGTCATTTTTATAATTCTGCAGCCACAATTTTTGCCATTTCTCTAAATCAATCCCATGCCCAAAATTTTTCCCCCATGCTATCATTGTTTCTTTAACTTGTTCCTCTTCCAATTTTACCTCTAATAAATAACCATATATTTTTTTAATTACATAATCATCAGAACCCATTAAAATCTTGTCTAAATTAGTCAAAACTTGGAGGTTTATCTGTGTTCCTCAGGGTCACCTAAGTAGTAATGTGCAATTACCTGGTTCATGTAATGTGCAATTTTTATCTCTGGAAATCCATTCCTACTCTCACACCATTCAAAGGATGCTCATCCCAAATTGTATAGCTAAATGTCTGTAAGGGATTCTCAGTCATCCAGATCATGGTTCTCCTTTTTGAGGGTCTACATGATCTGGATGAATCTCTACAGACTTTTAGCTATACAATTTGGATGAACACCCTGTCAGGTTCCGTAAAGACTGGAAAAATAAACCTCAGCATGCCAAAGCAGTAACCTAGTTTGTTTATCCTGATATCGGTACTAACTGACCAGGGGTGGGTTCTAAATTTTTTTACTACCGGTTCTGTGGGCGTGGCTTATTTTGTGGGTGTGGCTTGGAAGTCATGTGACTAGATGGGCGTGGCTATCTGGTCAGAGCCATTTCTGGAAGGTCCTCACACTTACGATCAGTCCTCGCACTTACGACCCAACTCATTTGTTTGCTTTTAACACTGATCAGCTGTAGGACGGCCCTTTGAAGCCCCGCGGCAAGAGTTTAAACAGTTTTTTTCCCTCTAGTCATCAGCTGGGACTCAGGAGGCAGCAATAGATTGGGGGTGGGACCAAATAAAAGGTAGGAATAACGCGGGGGGTGGGGGGGTGGGAGGGCAAGAGGGGAGAACTGGTTCGGTGACGTCATATCGTCACCGCTACCGGCTCGGCCAAACCGGACTGAACCGGGAGGAACCCACCACTGTAACTGACCACCTTAAAGTGTTACAGAAAGGAATCTTTGTTGGAGTTCATGCTCCGTGCTCCCCATCACCTTTTTAAGCAGCATACAGCTCCACCCCAGTGCAATCACTCAATTTTCCCATTAACCCGTATCCTCCCTTTCCCTCCCCAACCCATCACAGGCAACTTCAGTTGTTCCGTGCTGCTCCGTCTTTCCTTAAAGCGATAAAGGTTGATAGACTGCTTCAGTGCATGGCCCTGACGTCATCTAGCATGCGGCTGGGGAGTCGAAGTGAGAGGCATGCCTCGGGGCTGACGTCCCAGGAGAGCAGGCACACAGGAAGGGTTGTTGGCAGAAGTGTGCAGCGGAATGGCGAACCCCAAATGAATGGCACCCCAAGTACCGTTGCAGGGCTGGGGCTGACATGCGGCCCCCTCTACCATGGAGATGGTGTTTAAAGACACACCTTTTGAATGGTGTGGGAGTAAGAATGGATTTCCAGAGGAAAAAAATGCAGACTACAGGAGCCAAGAGCACTACTCAGGACACAGATAAACCTCCAAGGGCTTCAACGACCCAGGATGCAAATGTCCAGCTGTCTTCAAGGAATATAAATCCTTCCATTCCCCACTATCTTGTCAGAGCTGAAGAAGCTTCTTGGATGAGATGCAAAACGTCTTCAAAAGTCCAGTTGCCTCCTGAAAAAGCACCTTTGGGACCCTTTCCCTCAAACAAGTCAGAATGTTAAGATGGTGACCACAAAGGTGTAAACCAAAGTCTATTTTTATGCTTATTTGTTCCCTATGACTATCATTAAGTGTTGTACCTTATGATTCTTGACAAATGTATCTTGACTTTTTATGTACACTGAGAGCGTATGCACCAAAGACAAATTCCTTGTGTGTCCAATCACACTTGGCCAATAAAGAATTCTATTCTGTTCTGTTCTGCTCTGTTCTGTTCTGTTCTGTTCTGTTCTGTTCTGTTCTGTTCTGTTCTATTCTACTGTACTTTACTGTACTCTACTCTACTCTACTCTACTCTACTCTACTCTACTCTACTCTACTCTACTCTACTCTACTCTACTCTACTCTGTTGAGGGTAAACTGCCCTCTGCAGGGTAGAGCGATGGACCAGACAGCGTTGCAACACAGATACTCTCAGACTCTGAACGTTGTTAGAAAAATAAATAGTCTTTACTTGTTGTAAAACAAACAAACCTGGCTTCTCATAAACAAAAGATAACACTTTCAATACAAAACAAAGTTTGCTTACAGTTCTAGTTTCGTAACACCGTCACAGTATCTTTAGCAGTAATATCACGAGCAGGAGTGAGCAGGAGTGAATGAACTTCCTGCCTTCCTTTTATTTCTGTTTTAACCACTTAATCAATTAGTCATCTTGTAGCAGTTAAAGTTACAGTACATATTATCTACCCAACCGTAGGATAAGGATCCAACATACTCTACTCTACTCTACTCTACTCTACTCTACTCTACTCTACTCTACTCTACTCTACTCTACTCTACTCTATTCTATTCTATTCTATTCTATTCTATTCTATTCTATTCTATGAGACTGCTGGGGGAATGGATTCTGTGTGTCCCCCATCTCCTTGACGTTGCACAAAACTGTACCCTAAAAACTGAAGTGAAAGATGAGAAAAGGATTGGGCAATACGGATAAGCTAGCTCTGCAACGAAGTTAGTTGAGGCTGAGATTGCCACATCAGGTCTACATTTCTTGTCCCTCAAAGAACATCAGCCAAGGAGACATAATTTACGATGATGACCTAGGTCAGTGTTTTTCAATCTTGTCAACTTTTAAGATATGTGGGACTTCAAGTCCCACAATGACTGGCTGGGCAATTCTGGAATTTGGAAGTCCACATATCTTAAAGTTGATAAGGTTGAGAAACAGGCCCCTAGATTATTATGCTAATAATGTTACACATTAAATAATACCAAGGTCTAGGCACCTTTGAGTTGAGCCAACACTTTTTGGCATAATGATGTGGTTTTTCTAGCAATTGTGCAGAAGGATTTCATATTGCTTTTTTAAAAATTGACTTTTTAAAACTGTGTCAGCGAAACTTATTATCCTGGGCTGCTCATCCTGGACTAATCAGTATAGTCTAACCCTGCTCAGCCTTTTGAGATCAGCCAAGGTTGATCTCAGGCAGGGATCAAGGGAAGTCTTAGCTTAATGGGATTTGTGGATCATCCATACACAATCTGTACGGGGAACTAGATCTCGGTGGAACAAAAAAGGCATTTTTCGGGATTCATTCTATATTTGAAACCCAGCCAATGGAGCGATGTTGTTTTAAGTTGTTTAGAGATATTTTAACTAATCCAGTGCTTTGAAGAAAAAGAACACTAGGTGATTTTTGTAGATTCATATTGAATTTGTTGATTAAGATCTCACCTGCTGCTTGGGACTGAAGCTAAACTATAACACCAGTTACAGATCTCCAAATTAGTTGGGCTCCCACGTCACTACACCAGAAACCTGGGTTTACAAAGCACAGTGGCTAGGTTTACGCTAAACTATATTATAGCTTAGTGTTTCCATGAAGGAAACAGCCATGGTGGACACCCGGGAAAAGAAAGCATAACACACGGCTAGTCTAGTGTAGAGAAGGACCAGGGGAGACATGATAGCAGTGTTTCAATATTTGAGGGGCTGCCACAGAGAGGAGGGGGTTAAGCTATTTTCCAAAGCACCTAAAGGCCAGACAAAGAATAATGGATAGAAACTGATTAAGGAGAGATTCAACCAAGAAATAAGGAGAAATTTTCTGGCAGGGAGAACAATCAACCAATGGAACAGAAGTTGCCTTCAGAAGTTGTGGGAGCTTCATCGCTGGAAGCTTTTAAGAAGAGACTGGACTGCCATTTGTCAGAAATGGTGTAGGGTCTCCTGCTTGGGTGGACTAGAACAGTGGTCCCCAACCTTTTTATCGCCGCGGACCAATCAGCCTTTGATAATTTTACCATGGCCCGCTGAGCGCGCGCAGGGGTGGGGGCTTTGGGCCACACGTGCGTACCTGCGCGGGGCTCTCTTCCCTGGAGCCTTTGCGCACGGCCCAGGAGCTTTTGCGCACGGCCCGGGAGCCTTTGCGCTGCAGCGTTCATGTCCCCCGGCCGCTGCGCGGCCCGGTGCCAGGTACTCCACGGCCCGGCACCGGTCCGCGGACCGGGGGTTGGGGACCATTGGACTAGAAGACCTACAAGGCTCCTTCCAACTCTGTTAATCTGTTAAACGTGTCAAATGTCATATTCTTGTTTTCTTGAATGCCCTTGTCCAAAGAGGAAGTGAATACTAACCCTCCACTTCATACGGAACAGCTGAATTGCTGCAACAACCCGGGCAACCCATTTCAGAACAAATATGGCAGATACTGCAGCAGCTCATGGCAGTTCTTTGAAATTGTTGATTAGCATGTTTTTCCTGTCCATGCAGAGAATTGCCTCACACAAGATGAAAAATATTTCCAGGCTGAGTCACAGATCCTGCTAGAAACTGTTATTTTCCCTACTTTCTTTCAGAATAAGGTTAAAATCTCCTTTAACTCAGTCTTGGCTATTCCTTACACCCATCGGTGCCGTTGATATCATCATGGAAGCAGCATCCCACAGCTTTCTTTTGCGGACATTTTCCCAAGCCTGGGTATCAGCTTTGAGATTTTCCCCATCCAGAGCCTACATAAACCCAACAAGAGGTATCCAATCCATGGGAAGGATGTCAAAAAGTCAAAAGGATAGCAGAGAGAAACTCTGGCAGGCTTTCAAAAATCTGTTATTAAACCCTATAGCAAGTCCCCATTTTACCGACCTCAGAGGGACGGAAGGCTGAGTCAAACTTGAGCCTGGTGAGATTTGAACTGCCAAATTGCAGGCAGCCGGCAGTCAGCAGAAGTAGCCTGCAATACTGCATTCTAACCACTGCGCTTTAATGAGAGCTTCCCATCCCAGTTCCCACAATAAGTTCTCTTATTCTCCAATTCTGGATATTCTACACCCATTACCTACAATGGGTTTTCTCATTCTACCCCTACTACAGGGGTCTGCAACCTTAAACACTCAAAAGAGCCATTTGGACCCGTTTCCCACAAAAAAGAAAACATCGGGAGCCACAAAAACCCTTCCCGTGCCTGACTATTTCTTGAGCGACCACAAAACTAGCATACGTAGTTGAATTAAACATTCTGTTTTCTTCTGAAACTTTTCTTTTCTTGGATTTATCCATGGTTGGCCTTCTGGGGGTTGAAAAGCTCAATAAATTGCATGTTGGTGGGTATCGCACATTGGCGGTTGTGACACATATTTTGAGTGACAGGGAGCCACAGCAGAAGGGTGAAAGAGCCACATGCGGCTCCAGAGCCGCAGGTTGCTGACCCCTGCCCTACTAGAACTCTCATTGCTCCTTCTTCCTCTTTGATGTAGTTACTACTGCCATTCCCATAGCATATTTATCCAAAGGGTAGAGCAGTGTTTCTCAACCTCAACAACTTTAAGATGTGTGGACTTAGCTGAGGTAGAGGAACAATATGTTCAGAACTGGTATTCAGCCGGTTCGGACCGATTCAGGCGAACTGGGAGCGGCGACTACGGAGCGGCAACTGCAGGTAGGCCTGCCCACCCACCCTGGCGTAATGATATCCTATTTAGCCACATTTTCGAGGCTGGCCGCATGCATGGAAGGTGTGTGCGTGAGCAAAGCACATGCGCGGAAGGCGGGATACATGTGCAGAAGGCATGCACACACATGAAGTGAGTGTGTGCGTGGCGAACAGGTGGTAAGAATATTGGAAACCCACCGCTGAATATGTTCCCTTTACACTTCAAGGACCTTGCCTTAAAAACGAAGGCATTTATTATTAAAAATGAACCAAGCATCTCCAGTAACTAGAAAGCACGAATATTGAAGTTGAGAGGCTTGTAAACAAAAGACAAAATGGCCTCAGCAAGAGCTATTGTGTTTTTAAGTTGTTTGCTCAACTGGTTTGTAAATCAAAATTTGAAAGGACATTTGGAAGATCCTCTCTGAGAAACATCTGTGAAACCTTAGTAGATGAGACGAGTTTGATTGCAGGAGTGCAATTTCTCAGCTTGAATTTTACGCTTATCTGTTCCTAATGTTGTACTTAAGTTGTTAAACATCATAAAGACTTGCATATTTCAAGGTAAATACCTGGTAAAGTGGATGCATCCGGAAGTTGAGCCACTGCTACTCTGACTGTGGTTGACTTAAACTTGGAGGAAGAGACGCATTTTGGAATATTAATAATAAAATTGGTGCCCATGAAGGTGGTGAGAAGCATGCTGTTGTTAGTGGAGAAATCCAGGGCTAAAAAAATAGGAAATATGAAATCAGTAGACATATTAGTGTATTTCTTTAGGTTTGTAAGCCACAGGATGGCTCATTTTTCAGCCTGGTACATTTTATTCAGCAATGAAGTTTTCACAAAGTATTAACAAAACTACTTCTTCTCTTCCACAAAGCATCATTTAATTCTATCCAGAATATTCAATTATTATTTTTTTTAAAAAAAAATTCAAGTACTAAGGTAAGAATACTTCCCTTAGTATTTGAATAGTGTTAGAATACAGTGAATACAGTATTGAATACAGTATTAGAATACTTCAGTGCTTCTAAGCTGATGAAATATCTACATTTCTCTTTATCACCTCCTAAAGCACAGGAGACATTTCAGAGAAGGTCTTAGCAATCCTACTTTGTAGCAGTGAAGGAGAAAATCCTAAAATAAAATGTATAAAAATAATAAAAATAATGTTCTAGAATTGAATCTGTCTGAACGGAAACAGATTTTTTCCCTTTTAATTTGTCCCCAGATTGTCTGAGTAAGTAATGAATTGGCATGATGTCATAAAGTTATTTGTTTGCCTCTCTTCACACTTTTGGGATCCAATGAATAATATCTGCATTTTTTTTTTAATTTGATTTATATGCCGCCCTTCTCCGGAGACTCAGGGCGGCTTACAATGTGCTCAGCAATAGCCTTCATCCTTTTGTATATTTTATACAAAGTCAGCTTATTGCCCCCACAACTGGGTCCTCAATTTACCTACCTTAGAAAGGATGGAAGGCTGAGTCAACCTTGAGCCTTGGCGAGATTCGAACCTGCAGTAATTGCAGGCAGCTGGTCTTAATAACCAGCTTAATAACAGGGTGCCTTAAACCACTGTACTACCAAGGCATTTTGGCAAATTGGCTTGGCCAACTTGATGTAATTATGAGACCTTCTCCTTGAGGTGTCTTTAGATAACCTTGACCTGCAATTCCTATGGTCCTTCTGGAATAAGTATGATGGAAGCTCTAAATTAAGATGTCTGAATGGCTCAGTTGGGCAAGTCTAAATTAGTTCATGCAATTCCGATCTCGGTTTGACTGAAGGTGGTCGTACTTACGGATTTTCTCAAGGTTTTCTAATGGAATGGTCCATCCTGATCTCAAGCTGCCAGCGAAAAACAGAAGCAAACCCAGATTCACATGATAAAGCCGCATGGCTGAAATCTAAAGATTCGATTTTCTTCTGGTGTCCTAGAAAGCTGCACTGAACTCCACCTGGTTTGACAACTGAAAGGCAGTGACCAGAATGACAGATTTTCTCCTTAAAAAAAAAAAAAAGGGGGGGGGGAGGTCCTTAATGTCTGGCAAACATAAAACTAGGCTGAGAAACAGGGTAAACCAGAGAATCAAGAAATGGACCCAGTAAGGTGAAATATCTTTGTTGTGCAAAGGGTTCTCTCAAATATTCAAAGCATGAAGCTGATCTATAAGGAAGATTTTGCTTTATGGAATCTGGGCAGAAACCAGACAGTCTTATTTTCAGGTTCCATATCTTGTTACATTGAGAAGACCACTGCAAACACACACTTTCAAGTATTCATATTTATTATTTATATATCCTTTCCACTGCACTCCTACGTATTATGCTCAAACATAGTCATGTAGTATTGAATCTGTTGTTGTTGTTGTTAGTTGCGAAGTCGTGTCCGACCCATCGCAACCCACTGGACAACGTTCCTCCAGGCCTTTCTGTCCTCTATCATCCTCTGGAATCTATTTAAGCTCACACCTACTGCTTTAGTGACTCCATCCAGCCACCTCATTCTCTGCCGTCCCTTTCTTCTTTTACCCTCAATCCAGAGGTGGGTTTCAGCAGGTTCTGACCAGTTCTAGAGAACCGGTAGCGGAAATTTTGAATAGTTCGGAGAACCAGTAGTAAAAATTCTGACTGGCCCTGCCCCTATCTATTCTCTGCCTCCCAAATCCCAGCTGATCAGGAGGAAATGGGGATTTTGCAGTAATCTTTTCCTGGAGTGGGGAGGGAATGGAGATTTTACAGTATCCTTCCCCTGCCACGCCCACCAAGCCACGCCCACCAAGCCACACCCACAGAACCGGTAGTAAAAATTTGTGAAACCCACCACTGCCTCAATCGTTCCCAGCAGTAGGCTCTTCTCCAGTGAGTCCTTCCTTCTCATTAGGTGGCCAAAGTATTTGAGTTTCTTCTTCAGGATCTGGCCTTCTAAAGAGCAGTCAGGGTTGATCTCCTCTAGGACTGACTGGTTGAATCGCCTTGCAGTCCAAGGGACTTGCAGGAGTCTTCTCCAGCACCATAGTTCAAAGGCCTCAATTCTTTGGCGTCAGTCTTTCTTATGGTCCAACTTTGTACTGAGTCTACTGGAGTTATTTCTACTGAGGAAGTGGTTATAGTCTCACAATCTTAGAAGAAATTTAGGCTTATGTACTTTGAAGAAAATCCCAGTACATCCATATGGCTTATTTTAGCGCTTTAATGTTTAAGCACAAGCTATATTTCTTCCTCCAAGAATGGATTGTCCAAAGTTCAGCAAATTTATCAGTCTTGCTGGAAGTACAAGAAGCTTCCCTTGAGTCAAGCTGGATCTCAGATGATTTCAGGGTTATGTGTTGGAAACCACATGAAAATGTTGCAGTTTCCTTCCCCAACTTTGCAATAGAGTTCAGAGGAAAGCTTAAAAAAAAAGTTCAATGCATTTCGGACCTACTTAATCAAGGGATCAAAATTCAGATGCTTGGCCAACTGGTTCATACTGATGACCATTGCCGTGTCCCCAGGGCCGTGTGATCACAATTTTGCGACCTTCCAACAAGCATAATCAACGGGGAAGCCAGATTCGTTTAACAACCGTGTTACTAATTTAACAACTGCAGTGATTCACTTATCCACTGTGGTAGGAAAAGTCATAAAATGGGGCAAAACTCACTTCACAAAGTTCTCACTTAGCAACATAAATTTTGGGATCAATTGTGGTCGTAAGTCAAGGACTACCTGTAATTTAAGGCCTTGACTTGTGCATTGGTTTCACACATAATCTGGACTGAAGGTTCTTTGAATGCATGTCCCACCCTCTGCTCTCTTCTTGTATGAGCTGCGCATCCACGGAGGGCATTGGGAATAACCGTATATTAGTTTTAGCTTCTCAGCAGGGCACCCACAAATAAAGCACTTGTAAAAGTTGATTTAAAAACTACACATTTTCTCAATGGTTACCTTTCCCTTCCAATGATCAATTCTAAAGATGGTCTTTTGGGACAAAAAATTACTCTACAAAAAATGGAACAAAGGACCTACAATCTCTCTCTGAAACCATATTGTTGTTGTTAGTTGCAAAGTCGTGTCCGACCCATTGCAACCCCATGGACAATGTTCCTCCAGGCCTTCCTGTCCTCTACCATCCTCTGGAGTTCATTTAAGCTCACGCCTACTGCTTCAGCGACTCCATCCTAGCCACCTCGTTCTCTGCCTTCCCCTTCTTCTTTTGCCCTCAATCTTTCCCAGCATTAGGCTCTTCTCCAGTGAGTCCTTCCTTCTCATTAGGTGGCCATAGTATTTGAGTTTCATCTTCAGGATCTGGCCTTCTAAAGAGCAGTCAGGGTTGATCTCCTCTAGGACTGACCGGTTGGATCGCCTTGCAGTCCAAGGGACTCGCAGGAGTCTTCTCCAGCACCAGAGTTCAAAGGCCTCAATTCTTTGGCGCTCAGCCTTCCTTATGGTCCAACTTTCACAGCCGTACATTGCAACTGGGAAAACCATAGCCTTGACTATACGCTCTTTTGTTGGCAGGGTGATATCTCTGCTTTTTAGTATGCTGTCTAGATTTGCCATAGCTTTCCACCCCAGGAGCAAGCATCTTTTAATTTCTTGGCTGTAGTCCCCATGTATGGTGATCTTGGAGCCCAGGAGAATAAAATCTGTCACTACCTCCTTTTCTTCCTCATCTATTTGCCAGGAATTGAGAGGGCAGGATGCCATGAACTTAGTTATTTTAATGTTGAGTTTCAAGCCAACTTTTGCACTCTCCTTCTTCACCTGCATCAAGAGGCTCTTTAGTTCACTTTCTGTCATTAGAGTGGCATGTTAGCCTGGTTTTAAACATTATTGAACTTACATTATATAATTTTATTTTTTTTTACAAAAGAGATATCTCGTCACATTTTATTGGACAAATTCCAGTTATGAACTTTGAATGTTATTTAAAATGTTTGAAATAAAAATCATCAAAGGAAAAGGAAAAAATATTGCCTGATTGATAATCCGAGTGAGATGTCATTTAAGTGCCTTCTCACCCAGAACTTGGCCAGAAAGTATTTCAACTCCCAAGTAAACTCACCCAGCCCATTACTCCACCATTGACCTGCTATTCATTTGGTTGATAAGCTGTGCTAACAGGTTCTGCTACATGCTTCACAGCCTATAATATTTAACTGCATCACATTTAAATAGAGCCTATTGTTGCTATGAATTTTGACCATGCTCACCTCACTGAAAAGAGACCATATTTGAGAAATGACCTGAAGACACTTGTCGAATTCAACTTGCATTTATACCACTCCCTCTCTTCCCTGAAAATATCTTAAAAATGTAAGTTAAAGTAACAGCTGTAGAATATTCAGCACTTTCTATTGTGTCTAGTGCGGCCGCGCGGATGGTAATGGGAGCGACATGGCATTCCCATGTAACACCCCTCCTGCGCGAGCTGCACTGGCTCCCGGTGGTCTTCCAGGTGCGCTTCAAAGTTTTGGTTACCACCTTTAAAGCGCTCCATGGCTCAGGACCTGGGTACTTGCGGGACCGCCTACTACCACCAATAGCCTCCCACCGGCCGGTACGCTCTCATAGAGAGGGGCTCCTCCGGGTGCCGTCGGCCAAACAATGTCGACTGGAGGCGCCCAGGGGGAGAGCCTTCTCTGTGGGGGCACCTACTATCTGGAACGAGCTCCCCCTGGAGATACGGAGGATCCCGGATCTGCGCACCTTCCGCTGCACTCTAAAGACCTTTTTATTTCACCAGGCGGGCCTGGCCTAACTTTCTCCCTCTTTTTAAACATTTTTAATATTTTTTAATATTTTTTAGTATTTTTAATATTCAAAGTTTAAATTTGTTTTAAATTGATTGGGGTTTTAAATTTGTCTGGGCCAAACTATTTAATTCGATTTTATCTCTGCTTTTTAAATTTTGTATGTATGTATTTTATTGTTGGCTGTTCACCGCCCTGAGTCCTTCGGGAGTAGGGCGGTATATAAATCAAATAAAAGTAAAGTAAAGTAAAGTAAAGTAAAGGAAAGGAAAGGAAAGGAAAGGAAAGGAAAGGAAAGGAAAGGAAAGTGTCATATATTTCTTAGTGTTATCCTCTAATGTGAAGAATTCTTCTATGCAGGACTAAATCTAATGTAGAATAGAAATTGAATACAGTCTAAAGAGAGTTCCTATTATTTAAAAGATGAGCATTTCTAAATCCCACTGATGCCAAAGAAAGACTTTTCATTGTAAAACAAATGTCATATTGTTTAACTTTGGCTCGATATGTGCTTCTCCCCAAAAGCCAATAGAATAACAGAGTTGGAAGGGACCTTGGAGGTCTTCTAGTCCAGCCCCCTGCCTAGGCAGGAAACTCTATACCACTTCAGACAACTGGTTATCCAACATCTTCTTAAAAACTTCCAGTGTTGGAGCATTCAGAACTTCCACTGATTAATTGTCAGGAAATTTCTCCTTAGTTCTAAGTTGCTTCTCTCCTTGATTAGTTTCCACCCATTGCTTCTTGTCCTGCCCTCAGGGGCTTTGGAGAATAGCTTGACTCCCTCTTCTTTGTGGCAGCCCCTGAGAGATTGTAAAACTGCTATCATGTCTCTTCTAGTCCTTTCAGAATGAGTTCCAGAATGTCAGGAATAGCGGTATTTAAAATTGCCTTCAGAATCTGAAAATTGGTGAGCATGGCACTGTATTGGAAGTGATGCCCACTATCTTTTGAGATGTTCACACCTTCTACACAAATGGCCCTTTTCACAGGGATCTTTCAGTTGGCTGGCCTGGAGCTCCTGCTAATGTCCGCTCTATGAAGGTCAACTGAGGCTGTTTATTTATTTATTTATTTATTGGTTCAATTTATATGCCGCCCTTCTCCGGAGACTCAGGGAGGCTTACAATGCGTTAAGCAATAGCCTTCATACTTTTGTATATACCTGCTTAGTAGGGCTTTCGCCGCCCCCGCCCAAGCGGTGTTCTTTTTTATACAAAGTCAGCTTATTGCCCCCATAAACCGGGTCCTCATTTTACCTAC